TGGGGGGGGGGGGGACGATACTTGCGCGCCTGACGAGAGGCACCATCTCTACAAAATATTCAAAAGAGGGCAAGTGGGCGGGCGGGTGGCAGAGAGGGAGAATAGAGGAGAGATCAACAGACTTGAACGTTCGGTTGAGGTGTTTTGGAGGTGTACTTGGGGTGTCTATCACGCTCCAGCGCACTCATGGACACCAGCTGAGTGACAACAATAAATTAGGAAGGATTTTCATTTTTTTTCAGAGTCAATGGACTCTACATGTTAACAAAAGTTATAAAACAGCCATGCGCAACATTTCAATGCTCTTTTTGGAAGGTCTAGGACTTACGACTTTGAGCCATTGTTCCTGATGTGACCTTGACGTTTCCTATTGATTCATCTTTTCTATATTCACAACGGGAAAAATTTTATTACCATTTTATTTTGAATAGAATATGTAGCGGTATCATGTGGATTAACATCCTACACTCATCCGGTACAATGTGTGTGGGTTGATACCAATTGCACGTGCCCTCCTGTAGTTGCATCTATGAATCTCTTCATCTCCTCTAGGCGTTTGACACATGTGTACTTAGTCATGTCCCAATTTACGCTCTTAAAATTCTTTTGATTTTGGATGAGGATGAAAGGAGGAGGAGGAGAGATACCAGTGAGTCAACACTGCTTTCTTCCTGACGTGAGATAAAAAACATCCTGCTCATTTTAACTGGGCACGGGCAGGGGCTGTGTAAAAATAGCCCCTCGAGTTCCGTGATTTTTTTTTCTGCCATGCTCCGATTCACCGTCTGATGCTCAACACATTCGCATTGGAAATTAGACTCAAGGATTAATTGGGACTTTCCAATGAACGTGGTTTTCATTTCAACGTGGATAACAAATAAATGTTTCATTTTTCTTCTCTATTTTCCATTAAATAACAAGACAGCGCATGAATTTTTTAATTTTACACTTGAACAGTATGTAGGGGTAATATTAATGTGTAACAATAATTCTTCCTTTCTAATTTACATATATTATAATTGGATGCTTCCTATTAAGTAGATGACTAGGATTAGGACTGAATATGGAGTGTAAAATTTTTATAACATTAATTTCAAATTAATTCCCATCGCCTGAGGAATACAATGAACGTAAAATTGCACTTGAGACGTGAGTTGGCTTTTTTCTTCTATCCGCAGGAATTAATGTCAATCATCAATCGATCATCTTTGTTGCGTTCAATAGAACAGACAGCTTCTTATCGCTTTTACAATTGCCATTGAAATGAGAATATAAAAATTGCAAGATCAAACCCGCGGTTCTCGTCACTTGTATTTTGTTTTTTTTTTTTATAAATAGCAAAGTGCTTCGGCACTATTCACTATGTAAATATTGTGCTTGCTCTGGACGAAAAATAACACTGCGATGAACTCACTCGGTAGTTCATTTATTTACTAGCGAGTATTTTTCGATTTTTGTATTAAAAACAAACTAAGCACGATGAAGCTTAATTAATTCGTTGTTGTAATTTCAACCGCGAACCACAAATTATTCGGATGGAACACGTTGGAGTACCTCAACAATTATTTTCAGCCTTTGAATGTACTATCCGGTATTATTATAATATACAATATAATGCATACGAAATTACGATTCCCTGAAACTGCCTATATTAATATTTTCTTAGGAAATAGTTGAATTAAACATCGATGCATTTTGTGAGCAAATAATGCGACTTTGAGTTGATATTTCGTATTGCAAAACGTATACATTTACCGACCCGTTTTTCCTACTCCATCTGAACATTCAGATACATCACGGATGTTTATTAAATATGTGCGTAATAAATAGAAATCGTATGTGGGAATAAATAAACAACGTCTATCCGCTTCGAAAAATAAATTAAAAATCTTCTCTCATGATGCAGTGAAAGCAAAAAGCCAATGATCCCGCCTCTCAATTATTTACAATTTGTTACACTAGCTTAAAAATTTGTTATCGATATCACTGAATCCTTGCGATACGCTCAGTATCACATGCATTTTTTATCCTTTAAGTATAGGAATAAAAGTGGACGTTTAAAATTCTCTTAATTTTTTAACAGCGTAAGTGAATGAAATTACTCGATACCGAAGGTGTTTGTTTCCTCGACCGCCAGTAATAATTTTTCGTACAAAATTTCGGGGGTTGGATAAGGCGGTAAGTCCAATCTATTGAAACACGTGTGAGCCCTGTAAAGAAAACAGAATAAATTAAATTTTTTGAGTCGATTTTTCGCTAATGAAGGAGTAAAATGATTTTTTTTCGATATTCATAACTCAAAGGTAAATTTATCAATTGTGTTTCATGAAGATTATTAATCATCTAATTATAATTTCTGAACTAATTATTAATTTTTGCCAGATGTAGAAGATCCGATTAATTAGCCCCTCATGTATAGATATTCCAAATTTTTATATTTTTCCTCATTGAAGTAGTTTTGAAGAAAATTGCGAGCTAATAAAAAACATTTGCTAAGTAGTACTTTTTTTTAAATAAATTTTTGAAAAATCGCATTTCCAAAAAATTTTATGACCAATCGATAGCAAATTGAAGATTTTTGCGAGTTAAGAAAAAATCGTCAATGCAATCCTATTATTGTGTAAATTAACAATTCCAATTTCAACTGAAAACCAGAGTTGATGACCAGAGTTTGTAACAGAGATGTCAGACAAGATATGAATGTTTTTTTTNTTAAAAAAAGTACTAACTAGCAAATGTTTTTTATTAGCTCGCAATTTTCTTCAAAACTACTTCAATGAGGAAAAAAACAAAAATTTGGAATATCTATACATGAGGGGCTAATTGATCGGATCTGATGTAGAGGTGACAAAAGTGAATCGATACAGGAGGAAAATAATCAGGGGGAATAAAAATACACACCTCGGTAAACTATTTGGTCTCCCCCACTTCTCAATGCAGAATCTTCTTGGTCCCGTCGATCCCCTCAACGCTGCGAATCCCTCATATGGAATGCTCGACGTCCCAGTGACAAATTGAAGAAGCCTGAGTCGTTGTTCATTGGTGAATCGACTTATACTACTCCAGAACCACTCGACGACTGGATGGCCATCATGATAGCCACTCCTGTACTCAGTGTGTGCCCTCCAGTCGATCAAATCAATCTCAGCAGCACCAGCGATCACAAGTTCCAATTCACGTGCATCAAAAACCGAGACCAGTCGAGGATCGACGACTTCGTAGAAGCCTCGCACGAGCGATTCAGTTTGCTCGGAAACCCCACGTTCCAGTCTCCACCTGACGACTCTCTCTAGATACTCTTTCTTATTCTTCTCAGTTACTGCAATATTACGTCCTCCAGGCTTTAGTTCCCGCTCGGCGACTCGCCCCAGGAGCTCCTCAGTAACTGAAAAAGTCAATTCCAGGGGTTCAATACTGATGTCTCGTTCCTTGATCCACATGAGACTCTGATGGAACTCCTGATCGAGACTCTCGAGATCACTGAGACTAGCTGGTAATCTCAGTAGAGCTTTGTAAAACGGTCTAGTGAAGAATGCATCGAGTAAATACTGATGAACTAGAGCTAATCCCAAAACTCTTCCAGAGAATCTGAACCAGTCGTGATAATTGTCGACAAAAGCCGACATCGGCGAGACCTGAACTGTATAAGTATCATTAGCAGAATACTCGAACAGGCCGTAATAAGGATTGAATAGCTCTCGAGATAAATGAAAGAAAAACTCCCTGGAAGGACCACCGTAGTCCAAGCCCTCCTCATGATCGAATATCACCACGAGTTTTCCCTTTTGTAAATCCTTCTTAGAAGCCGCCATGATTCTAGTGAAGGCATCCTCGAGCAAGTGCTCCCGTCGAATGTGGAGTTTAAGTTTGCCAGGACCCTGGCCGAATCCCTTGCTTTCCAATTTTCTGTAAAAAGTCCTGAGTTTCGCCTCGAAATCTCTTCTATAAGGTGCTGGCGCACGTGCAGAGGCCCTCGTCAATCCAGGCGATGCATGCGGACTGCCAATTGGCGAACGTCCAATATTTCCGGGTACATAGGACATTATTTCCTGCTCGAAGAGACTCAACAGCAGTGCCAGAGGCACATCGTGGCCCAATCGTTGCAGGGCTGTAGCACCTTCCACTCGTATCGTATTGACTTTTTCACGGAGGGCTATATTTTGGCCGAGTGGCGCATGTCGTTCTTTAAGAATATCCATGATATTTGGCTGGCGGAGGAAGGCAACAACTTTGTCGTTGTAGGCTACAGGTATATCGGGGGTGGTTGTCACTCCGGACTGTTGGGGTCTCGGTGGGGGGATGGGGGCTTCGTCCAACAGAGTTCTAGGATGAGCTGCTTCGGTTGGTAATCTAGGGTCAATGAACGAAGTTGCTTTTCTAGCATGACTTATGAAGAATCTTTTACCAGTCCTGTCGAATTTTGATTCATACCCCCGGGGTAACTCTTTACTTATGTCAGCGAAGAAGTTGATCAGAGCTACGAGATCTCTGTTGTGCTCGTACCTCGGGAAAACGAGGGGATCTCTTCGGATTCTACTTATCATGTGCTTCAAGCTTGGATTTCTATTGTACAGTTCCATTGCATCTAAATTTGTGTGAAGAACGTTGAAGAAGTCTGGCCGGGAGAGGAATAAAATTGGTGGAATAGTGGATATATCAAAAGGCTCTGGATTAGCCTGAGGATCACTCGGTCTCTCCGGTCGATCGGACGTCCGCCGTTCACTGTTCTCACCCTGAGCACCTTCTCTCTCGATTCGATCCATGTTATCTGGTCGAGATATTGTTCTCCTCACACTCTGGTATCTTCTATCCAACTGTTGCCGTCTCATCTCACATCCAGTGTTCCTTGATGATTGTCCTGGTCTCTGCCAAGTGGTCGTACGATTAATATGATCAATATAAAATACTCGTCCATGGCTATCGATTCTAGCTTCCCAGGACGGTGGAAGGGGTTCTTCATTCGTTAGAGAAGAATTAGCAGTTGAAGAGCACATTGGCAAAGGCCTCAGTGGTTTTGGACGATGGGTGGGAGTTGGTGGGCACTCGGATTGAGATGATCCAGTCCCAGTCCCAGTCCCACTGCTACTCGCTCCTGCCACCCCTGGCCTCGTCAAAGGTCTGTGAGTCCTTGGAGAACTGAGCAGAGCGATGCTCTTAGTCACAGCTGTTCGAGGCTTCAATCCTACTGCCTCATCCACGTCAACAATTTCAAAACCAAAACAGTCCTCTGGGCGACAGGGGTGACCTGTCGTCAGGTGTTTGTGGGAGTGAAGGGCATTGCTCCTGTGCAGGGGTTTGTGGACAGCTCGAGGGGGCAATGGTGGGGGATTTGGATAGAGACTGTCGAAAGGTGCTCCTGATGATGCTGACGACTCTCCACCTCCTGTACTCCTCCATAACTGGTAATACTCAACTTGTGGTCCATTTCCATTGAGACTTCGTTGTTTCTTGCTGGATGGGTCTTTACGAGGCTCTGTATCCGAATTACTACCTTCACTGCTGTACGACCTACGAGGTTCTAGGTCCAGCCCCTGGGCGTCTTCTTCCTCCTCCATCTCTCGAGAATTCGAACTCGATGGCTCCATCAGGGCTGATGCACTGCCCTCGAGCTCAATTCTCTGGGCTGCCTCTGCTGCTTCGAAGAGGTTTACTAAACTGGGAAGTTTGAAGGGTTTCTTCAGATCAATTTTCACTGCACCATCGAGGCTATCAGACTGAGGCAGTCCTACAGATGAATCCTTCGAGGAAGTGGAAGGAAGGAGGGATAAGGACTGAGTGTCCTCTGCTATCGCTGCTGCTCCATCCTCTGAGACATCTGTGCTCAATTGCTGCTGCTGTTGCTGCTGCTGCTTCTGATCGTTCGTACCACTAGCCTCGTCCGAGTTATTGGAATCCTCTTCGGGGAAGAAGCTGTTGTGGTTGCTCGATGGTTTAGATGGCTTCTCTGAACTGTGCGACTGACGATTACTCTTCAAAAATTCTTTTTTTCTGATCATGTTTTTACGGTGAGGCTCTTTGACGCATGAAAATGACTGCGAGTAGCTTGGAGATACCTCTACATTATCTAGTGATTCCTGCATGATTTTTTTTTCCATTGTTTCGTTATTTGATGAGTCATTTGATTCAGTGCTCTTGTCGTTATCGGTGTCCTGGGGGGATGAACTTTGTGTGCCATTATGATATCGCTCTTCTGATGGGACTGATGAATTCTTATTAATATTTTCGGTGGTGTTTTGAATGTCCGATGTCTCGGTTTGTTTATTGGATTTGGATAATTGCTCAGTCGAACCTCGATTATTTGATGAATTAGTCAGAGCTGGAAATGCATCAGAGGTCGACTGGTGACTTTCTGATATGCCATTTTCATTAGTGTGGGATGATGACTTACTGAGAACCATGCTTGCATGATTTTCCAATGATTCTGAAGTTTTGTTGCAAATCTCCTGATTTGGCTTCATTTCCATCTCATCGGGAGGTCGGCTGGGGTGCTTAATTCATTGCTAGAGGATTGGGTTGACCCCAATGACTGGAGTAAGTGCCTGTGAATGAATCACAATTTTTTAGAACCTTTGCATTATTAATTTTATCGTTATTTCAATGTAAATACGAGATATTTGATACCGAACACTGATAAATTAAATTTGAATACTTGAGTTCACGTTATCAATTTCATTCTGATTAATCGGAAGATACGATTAGAACTACGTCAACATTGTGGATGAATCTAGTTGCTACCTGGGATGAGTAAATGGACAAGGTCGTTTTAGAGAGAGGGACGAGATGTGATTCAGCATAGCTATGGAATGATGCATTCCATTATACGTATTTTTCATTGAGAGCCTGGCTGAAGTATTGAAAATTAACTCAGAACTCCAATGAAACGTCAAATGATCAGAATTCAAATGGAAGTAATCACCTTTACGCTGATCATTTTGTCCCAGTTGTTGTATCCACTTCATTCATTCACCATCATCACTAGTATGGCACGGGTTACCCTTCATTATCATATTGTTATGGAGTTGTTTTTGGAGATTATTTTTCGCTAAGCAACTACACGAATTTCGGGGGATAAGTGTTTGACACAACGGATAGAGGAGTGAGAGATGGTCTATAGAAGGGGGGGAGGGGGGGGTCGTTTGTACAATCTCAGACGGACACATTCCGTTTTGGACACGTTCTAGGGAAAATGGCGTCAGTACGGTAGGGCGGTGGAACAATTGGACACGGAAATTTGTAGTGACATTCGCGGATGGGCAGATGGTTAAACAGGGCTCGATATTGCAGATGTCCTCTGAAAAAGTCTTACCAATCGAAATTTCTAGCGCAGCGGCACGTTGAGAGATGGCGGGATTTAATTTTTACTAGTGGAGGGAGTATTCAACTCGTTCAAATCTTTCAAATGGAAAAAAAAATTCTAACAATTGTTTTTTATTTTATTCTTAAAAACAGAAGTTGTTAGTCTGTTATTTTAATACTGTACTATTAGAAAATTGATCTTAAACTCAGACAACTATATTGTTCTGAATTTTCATTCCATTGAACATTCATTTCAATTTGATGTTCAATTTTCAACGTATGAAAAAATTAATTCCTTTGAATTTTTAGAATAAATAAGAAACTCCCTGAACAATTGAATCTTGAATTGAATTCAAATACACAACACATTAAAAATTCAAATGCATTTATTATTACTGAAATGTGATTTCTCCAGTCAGTAACAAAATTGTGAAGATATAATTTTACTTCTATTATAATAACTCACTCAATCCAAATATCAGTCAAGTGTTAATTGATTATTTTTTAATGCATGAAGGGTTTTTCGGTCCTGCTGGCCGCATCCGCATGCGTACTTACTACGAGCCCCACAGCTCTCCCAGCTACTTATGTATATTCATGCAGTGATGGAGTACGTGCTTTCTCTCCGATCAAAAATGGTTTTCATTGTGTAGGGATTCGTCAAGTTTACGCATGCACACACCACACGGGCACAAGTGCGGCAGGTGCTCGGCGGGATGTGGCAACGATAAGTAACCTATTAACGGTGAAATCAAAACAAGTGATGAATTGTCTGTTTGTTAATCTGCTGAAACAATTGTCATATCAAAGCTCACCGCACCACGGTGACGGATTTTCATTATGCTGTGCTCCAATGGTTTTTGGAGGTTCCTCTGATACAGAATATGCCTCTGTAATTGCAAAAGAATATGACCGATGTCAACGAATTGTGAGTTTTTTCAATTTTGTCGTATCACCTTCGTTAATCCAAATGTCACGTGTACCTGCGTCGCGGAATGACATGAATCATGCGTCGTATTTCATCCACTTGATACACTTCCTTTCAATAATTTAGGCAGTCGAACACCATATGTTCTGTTCATTGTATTATAAACATATCATTATGTTACAGGAATTGTCGACAGGGTTTGAATATTAGGATTGAATAGAACGACGAAATTAATATGATGGAGTTTTTAAATGCCTCAGTGGATATACCAACTGACAATTTGTATCTGGCATTGATCCAGTGCTTTGCAATTATACTATGCGGGTATGTATAAAAATTCAGGAGAATTCGTCACTCGGTTTTTAACCATGTGCCGTTTTCTTGGTCGTAAATTTAATTAATTCATTACAGTTAATTATTCAGTAAATGTTTTGAAACTCTCCCCTGATGAATTTTTTTGCATTTGTCAATCTTCCTATAGGTACTGTGTGCTTCTTCATTCATTCAATCCATTATTTCATTATAAATTATTACTCAACAAAAAAATTGACATTTTTTTAGTTTTGCAAACTCCACGCATAGGTTGTTGAATTTGCAAAAAGTAATCAATAAGGAGATTTTATTGGTGGCCTTCATGTGCAACAAATAAGTAATTGAAATTTGCAGGTACATCGCTGGGAGATTGGAAATAATCACGAGAGCAGAGGCGAACGGTCTCAACACCTTTGTCGGCACATTCGCACTGCCCTCGCTAATATTCTCATCACTAGCAAGACTCGACTTCTCAGTAGTAAACTGGAATTTTCTGTTGGCAGTAATGATTGCCAAAGGATGCGTGTTCTTTGTAGTTCTCCTCGTGTCTCTCATGATAACGAAGCCCACGAATCCTGGACGTGCAGCATTGTTCGCTATCTTTACAACCCAGAGTAATGACTTCGCCATTGGCTACCCTATGATCGAAGCACTCTACAGCCAGACACATCCAGAATACTCAGCATATCTCTACCTGATGGCTCCCATATCTCTGGCTATTCTCAATCCAATCGGTTTCGTATTATTGGAGATTGGCAAACAAAGGACTGCAAGTGATCAACAGTCAGGGTGGACTCTGGTGGGTTCAGTGATGAAAGGAGTGGCCCTCAACCCCATCCTCTTCATGACGGTTCTGGGGATCATCGGAAATTTCGTCTTCAGTCACTCTGTCCCGACCATTCTATCAGTAATCCTCAAAGTATTCGGTAATGCATTCTCAGCCAGTGCTCTATTCCTCCTTGGTCTCATGATGGTGGGGAAAGTCCATACGTTGAAAGGAGCTGCACTAGTTATCCCGGGAATCCTCATCCTGGTGAAACTCCTTGCACTTCCACTCGTCATTCGAGAATCAGTGATTCTGCTGAGTGCTGGGACAAACGAGACAGACACCCGGGATCTCAGCACTTATGGATTTCTTTATGGAACAATTCCCACAGCACCAGCTCTCTTTATCTTCACCCTTCGTTACAAAATGGAAATTGATTTAATCGCATCAGCCATGGTCGCCTGCACATTCATGTCTGCTCCCCTGATGTTTGTTTCAGCAAAGGTCATTACTGCGATCAATAACGGGGTCTCTCCTGATAATTATGCTAAACAGTTGAATGCATTCTCCATGGACATATCTGTAGCTTCTGCTGTGGCATGTGTCTGGTTGATCATTTGTTTTTTCGTTCTCGAAGGGAAGAAATACAAACGTCCCACACATCGATGCACCATCTGCATTATCGTGGCTCAGTTTACGGTGGCCATTGGCGTCATCATCTGGACGAAGCTGGACGTTGGAAGCACTGGCTCTCCTTTGTGGTACCTCCAGTGTGCATTCATCACTGGGGGGGTGTATGCCAGTCGATTGCTCACCGCAACAATGGCAGCAACTTTGTTATTTCTGACTTCCAAGTCAGTGGCTTTCGTTCGAGATCTCCAGAAGTGGATCCTCCCAGCTGCTCTTGGAATACCTCTCATCCTCGTGACACTCATGTGCGCCATTGTAACCCCAAGAAATCCTGCTGAACCTGATTTGCGGAACCCAAATTTCCAACTGGGGACCGTCGAGGGAGCTGTTTCAATATTTATTTTATTGTTCAGTTTTATTGTAACTATTGGGTGCTTGGTACTTCATCAGAGGTATCAGAGGCGTCATCACACTGAAGCTTATGCCAGCCTCATAGGCAATGGTGAAAATGCCGAGTCAACGACGATTGACACGAGGAACATTGTGGACGTCGAGGATCTTATCACTCCCATTTCGCCAGTACCAACCCCTACCAATCCCTGTGGACTGGACAATAACTGCGCTTTCCAGAGGGGTTTGTGTGCTGCTGCCACAGGGGCACTAGATGAATACGAAGGGGACTCTGATAATGAAAGGGAAACGTCGAGGAATCAAGCGGACGATCCGCAGATACTTCGTCATGTAGTTTTCATTATTTTCCTTCTTTGTTCGATGTTCATCGGACTGGTTTTATCCGTTGGGACGATGATCATGGAGCAGATGACGGGGGTTTATGCGGAGTTGGCGTTTCTGGATGTGGCTTTCAATTTCGGACAGCCACTCATCGCTTTCGGGATTTTCGGGCTTGATCCCAGTCTGGGAAGGCTGGGCGAGTGGCTGAAGAAAGCTTGTCACGAGTGGAAAGCTAGGCAGAAGCTACAACTACCTGATGAAGCATCACTCAGCCCAGAAGCGAGGATGATTCGAGAGGAGTTCAGCCAGTGCCATCTTCGAGAGTGTCGCGATAGAATCTCCATGTGTCGCAGGCGACTACTCACGGTTTATGAGGGAGTCTTCTCTGGGACTGATTTAGTTAATTGGTTGTTGGAGGCTGATGTGGCTCATAGTCGGGAGGAGGCTGTGCGGTATGGAAGGTGTCTTCTTGAGAGCCGGGTACTGCATCATGTCGATGGTACCCATCATTTTCATGATAAAAATATTTTGTATACTTTCCGGGGGTAGACGATTATTTTCTATGGCTCTTGGGGAAAGGGGGAGGGGAAGTATTCATTTGTGGAAAAGAGATATTCTGAAATGAAGAATAGGATTTTTTTATGAATGCAAAAGAGAGTGAGGTGGAATGAATGGTCTTTTCATTTTCAAAGGATTTTCTTTTTCAACTTTTAATGAGACTTGATTTGTTTTACTCCACTCTCTTTTATTCTTGGTTGAAGAGTGATAAATTCTTGAATTAAGAATACTCTTTTTTAAATTAATCCTGCTTCAGTATTGTGATTTCATTATTGAATTATTACGTATCATTCTTGTAATCCAAAGATTGTACGAGTATTAACGACTGTTAGCGACATATTCGATGATGGAGTCAAACATCGATGTGAAGAGTACTGAGGTTTTTTTTTTTTTTTTGAATATAATTTTCTCTGTGACGCAGTAACTCTGCAGGCCAATTTTGCTGCGTCTGTACTGCACATTAGCGAATAATTCAACGCACCGATCATAGTTAATTATTTTATACTGAATGAACAATCGATTGTTTGAGAAGGGAGGAATGAACAAAGGCTGTATCGTGTTGTGAACAATATCAGCGGCTCTCAGATTCAGATAAACCAATATTTTAAAGAATTTTTTCACGTCATTCATTATCTTGCTTCTTCTATGTCGTGATAATTAAGATAATTTCTGGTGATAAGTGTGATAAAGAGAAGAAATGCTATGAACTTTAATTAGCATCATTAGTATTGAACTCTAAAAGTCTATTTTTTAGAAGGAGAATAAGATTTGAATTGCGGGAAAGTCTCGTTTATTGCACTGCGCGAATGAAATTGTAGCGCAGTGCATTTGCCAAAGAAAGGATCAATAAATACACGACAGTTGAATATTTTTCTTTATTCCTTATCCCCTCAAATCAAAACGGTAGATCATCATCGGGATCTTCTTCATCTAGATCATCGACGTCATCGGGCACATACAAAATTTTAGATTCATTGGCTGGATTGGTGTCATTAATAATGTAAGGCAGAGGTGTTTCGTTCTTCTGCTCTAGCTCACGAGAGTTCATGTCTAATCTGAATGTTGCTTGTGGCTTTAATGCAGCAGGTGGAGACGTCTGAACATTCTTAGGGGACTGCACCACCGGAACCCTCTCAGATTTAATTTCGTACGTCAATATGTCCTGAGTAATCACTACATGATGTTTTAGAAGCCCTCCCCCCTGCTTGCGATGAGTTACAGATATTTCATAACTAATATCGCATCCGGAACTTGTTGCACTCGATTTATCGAGTCTGACGTACGTGCTCCCTAGGGTCTCTATGCAGGGAATTCTGTGCATACCGAAATCTCTTCGATATATGCAGATAAGCTGAGACACCTGGTTTCCTAGCTTCTCGATAAATCTAGCAGCTTTAGCCAGACCAACTGATAATATTAAACTACTCAAACAATTGACTATGACTGTCGATTGTTTTTCAGAAGTGAATCTCTTCGTTATCTCCCGCAAATCAATATTCTCTGGCTTGTAAATGTTATCAAGGTCTTGTGTGTAATAATCATGAATTGTCAAATTTTCTTCTTTAAACATTTCTGTCCAATGATCAAATGTGAACTTTGGGTCTGAGAAGAGCAGTAGATCCGCCGGGTGATTCGAACCAGTGTCTTTCCACATTTGTAACCAGCCTGTGACGAGATCTGTTGCACGCAGCACTTCCACACCTGCAGATTAATGAGGGAATTATTTTTTAAATCATTTTTCCTCTTCATGTTCGGCTGATTTTTAGAAAGCCTCATCTGTAATATTTGTTGTTATGAAATATGAAGACAGGTTACCTTCATCAATAACAATGAATCTGGCATCTTGGAGCAGAGGTAATGTTTTTATCTGCACCATTCTCTCGTATTCCTATTCCTGTATGTTCACTCAAAATAACAGACAACAGTTGTCAACAAAATCGGCTGAAGATGCGCGTGTGATAAGTATGTACAGAAACTCTTGTTTTTGTTGTTTTTTTTTTTGATCACTTGGAGACACGCGAAAAATCCTCGAGGAGTTAGAGAGCGCCACGTGCAAATTTGTAAAAACACGTCATCAACATATATAGGTGAGTGCTGCGCTTCTCAGAGTGTTATTCGAGTGTAGCTGAATAGACTGAGTGAAAATAAATCAACCGAATAAAAAAAAATAGTGAAAATGTCGTTGCATTAGATGTCCATGCATATCATCACTTGCCTATTAAAATTCAATCATAGGGTACAGAAATGATTATTCAGAGGGCCTGGAAGCAGTCGTAACCTAACTTGGACTTTGACGGGAGAACTGGAGGTGAATATTTACTATTACTTTCACCTTATGAAACACCTCGAAATGTTCATCAAAAATTTATGCTCTTCATGTTGAACAACATACTGTAGAAAGTAAAAATGGTTCACAGGCGATTGAATTTATCAATCCAATTTGTTTGCTCGACTTTTCTCAATGATTACAATAATTTACTTCCGTGATCTTCTTCAGGAGTGTAAACATAGAGAAAACATCATGATGTCCAATGGGATACAGGACCCTAGTCAGGACGATGAAGCAAAGACAGTGGGATCACGAACGAGCAGCACCAACGGTGCATCCACATCATCAACCCTCGACTCACCCCTAATGAAATGGTCATCGTACTTCCTGGCTGTTAGACCATGGTCTCTGAGTGCATCACTAATGCCAACCCTTCTCGGTTCAGCCCTGGCCTATCGTCTGACTGGACTCGAGAGTTTCAGTTTAATATCATTTGTCTTAACCCTTTATACGGTAATATCAGTGCATGGAGCTGGAAACGTAGTAAATACATATTTCGATTATATCAAGGGTGTTGACAGTGGGGGTAAAAGCGATGATAGAATACTTGTTGATAAGTTATTATCTAAAGACGAGTTAGTATCATTAGGGACAATACTTTATGCTGCTGGATGTTTGGGTTTTGTATTATTAGCGACAATATCACCGGCTAAAATGGAACATCTGGCCCTTGTATTTTTCGGCGGTCTGTCATCGTCATTCCTGTATACCGGTGGCATTGGACTCAAGTATATTGCACTTGGTGATGTACTTATACTTGTTATATTTGGCCCGATATCTGTGTTATTTGCTTTTATGGGCCAGACTGGATACATCAAGTGGGGCACCATATACTATGCAATACCTTTGGCATTGAATACAGAAGCCATTCTGCATAGTAATAATACTCGTGATCTTGAGAATGACAGAAGAGCTGGCATTGTAACTCTGGCCATTCTCATTGGTCGCACAGCATCACACGTTTTATACGCTTTTTTACTTTTTACACCTTACGTAACACTCGTTGTACTTGCACTTAGGTATTCGGTATGGTTTCTCCTGCCACTTGTCACACTACCGACTGCCTTCAAAATTGAAAAACAATTTCGAAATCCAATGACGATACAGAGTGTACCTAAGCAAACAGCCAGGCTCAATATGTTTCTTGGGGTGCTTTATGTACTTTCTTGTCTCCTTGTTGAGCCACTTCCTTACTTTTAACTTGATTTGTTCCTTTCTATTATTCTTTTTTATTCTCTCAAGCCGATTACTCTTAATATGGTAACAATGACATCAGCAATTATTGTGCACATGATTATTTGGCCAGCAGAAGCTAATGTGATAATGTGCATAATATAAGTCGGTTTGTTAATCTTTGTTGAAGGGAAGAAATCTCGATAGATATGAAAAGACATAATTGATACATCGGTTGAAGAATATTCGTCTTTGGAATTTTTTGTATGTCCGTTTTTACAACTACCAAGACGAAATATCGAATAAATATTTTTTCATCGACTCTCATTGAATAATCACTTGGGTTTATTTTTTATTTATATTGGATGGATATTTTTTTGTTTTAGGATAATTCAGTTGACATTAAATGATGAGTCTTTTTGGGGGGAAAAGGATTCTGTACATTGACCATGACTAGCAGATAAAACGTGAGATGCCAGTAATTGATGAATAACAATAATTTTATCAATAGTGCAAAATTATATGGGGTTTTATATTGAATTTAATACGAGTCTGATGGGAAATTTCTGGGAAGAAGCAGCTAACATGTACTCAGGACTCTTTTTCTATTGAAATGTATGTATTATATAATTTTTTTCTATGGTTTTTGGGAAATCCTACCGCTAATTCATCTAAACAAATCAATTTCGGGCTAATTTTAATGGGAAAATGTATACATTAGGGAGGATTCAAGGGACAATAGTAGGAAAAATGGTTCAATAGAATTTTTTATTCTTAAAAACGGAAGATGTAGAAGATAAATTAATGCAGCAAACTTTTACTTGCGATATAGTAAATGTAGATAGATCGATATAAATGGGCTCTAAGAATCAACCGAAAGAAAAAATATCCGGCTATGTATGTAGAGCAGACCAGCTTCTTCCGCCGAAATATCTATGTAATTCAATAGTGGAGGGACAGAAATCTATGTGAAACCGCGCTTTAGAGGAAGCTACCCCTGATTGTCTCGATGTGTATATTTTTCGTTGCTGTACTCAAGTGCAATTCAGTTGAGGACCCATGTAAATTGAAACATTGAAACACGAACAGATTTGAATGTCGATTCGACACATCAGTAATGAAGCCTTTAAATTGAAATAACCCTTTATCAAAGGATCATGTTGTTCCTGAGTGGGAGAAGGTCATTGGGAGGGATAGTCAAATAAATTGTATGAGCAGGAAATTTGTTATTTCTCATTATTTATCAATATACCAAAAAAATAACACGAGGAAATGAAATTTTCTCTTAAATTGAGTTCATTTTCAGCTGTGAATTTGTGTATCAAATTTTGATATCGAAGTAAGAAGTAAATAAGAGAAAAATTATAACTAAGGAAGTGAAGCTTTTTCAGTTTTGAATGTGTGTATCAAAGTATTGATACTAGAATAAGAATTATTATTTTTTTATTAAAACAAAAGGAAGTAGTTTTTTTAGTCTTTCAAGTGAATTCATTTCGGTTTTGAATAAATGAATAGCAGTATTGAATGGAGTTTAGACGTGCTTTCGACCACCTCCACGTCCTAGGAAGGCTGGTGAACTCAGCGGTGTAGCTGAGGGTGGTCTGATGCCACGACCACCAGGAGCCAGAGTGCTGACTGAGTGACTCGACATGACTGACTCGACATCATCACGACCATTATTATCACCGAACTGCATCATTATGGGCAATCCATATCCCCTTGGTGGACGTAGGGGTTTCATGTCATTTGTGGGAGGCTTCACAGGGTTGTACAGTGTGCTGGAAATAAAATCATGAAACACAAATATTAAAATACTATAATTCCTTTTCTTGTAAAGTACAATTATAATTCCTCTTTGTCATGAATCCAGACTGAGTTCAATTGATGAAGTTCTTTTTGAGTAATGCCCATTAAAAACCATTTGAAGTGTCCACTTTGCCCCACCCACCCCTATTTTTCTACTGCGTTCAACAGAAAATAATGCAAAAAATGATAATTTACCATGTTGATTCATCAGTGTCGCTAGCCACTGAGCTTGTATCAGTGAAGTCTTTCAGTCGATTCTCAATGTTGCCATCCCAGGTGTCGACGCAAGTCAGGGCTTCCTCGATCTCCGATGGAGAAGGCGTATTCAGGGATCCATGTTTCTTGACAACTAAAAAAAAAGTTCTCAGTTCAATCCAATTTCATTTATTTCTTAAATGTTACGAAAATGTTCCTCTGCTGTACATCTTCACCAGTTTTTTCATCATCCATCTTCCTCTTGATTTATTTTTCATTGTCAAGAACAATAGTAAAAATAGAATGAGCATAAATGTAACATTTTTCTCTGTGGAAACATAATTATGTTCACACTATTGACATTTTTAAAAAATGTTCTATATTCCTTTCATGACGTCATCAATAGGAATGAAGGGAAAAAATATACTCACAACTGTACAACTCTGGATTGGCGCCCCTCTTGTCGGGGCACAAATTCATGTGCTCTTCCAGCTCTGAACGGAACATTATGTGAGTTGCATTGAATGGGCACGATTCCTTATACTTCGGTGGATAATTCTGAGGAAATAAAAGTTGATCGTAAAACACACGAGGCCGAGTGGAGATAAACGAAACTCGACACCGTGGAGCACTTACCTTAGCACATTTCAAGATGTGTTTTACGAATCTAGACCGATGAACGAGGTGCTGCTCGTTGTAGGGACAAATCCTCATGTTTGTTTCTCTCTCCATCTTCAATTTCTCTAGAGAATGAATAATACTCAAATATAATATTCTTCTTTTGTTGTCTTGCTCAACGAGAGACACGCATACGGACACGGCAGCAGCGAACGACTGGACTGAATCACTGAATCCTTTGTCCCGATTTTGAGAAAAAGGCCGGCCGCCGGGGGGAGGGCTGTCGAACGAGGCTTTTTGTTTTGACCGGAAGCGGTGGTAAATAAACTTCATTTGAATACTTTATGAGAATATTTTCATTTTGGAATAAAAGCAAAATAATTATTAATAAATTCGGAATTTTTAGAATGCGTTGGATGAGTTTCACTGCATCAAACACAAAAATTACGGTCTAAATTTAATTTTCCGCTCTTTATTCGATGTCGATAAAACAGGACAATTATCGATGAACATACATCCGGTTCATACAAATTTATGCTCAAATTATGAAATTATTTGTTTCATAATGAAGTAGAAATTGATGAAATAACAAATTATTGAAAAATGAACAGAACAGAATTCGATTTCCGACATTGGATAAGATATAATTTAGAGTTAATATTCTCCGTTTCCAAAAAATTTCCTGCCAATACAATTGTTGAAAAAACGGCTTTGATGCTAGCTTACAGAAAGCTAACAGAAAAATGACTCTAAAATGGAGCAAAATTAGATTTTTAATATCGGATAATGGCAGTGTCTATTCACAAAAAACTCATCATTTTTTTCGATTAACGGTCGATTTTCCCTCTGTCAAAATGTAAGATCTGACCCTTCAATAGGTGGAAATAAAATTGTTTTTTTTTTTTGACATTTGAATAAATACAGAATCAATATTCACTTGTCGAAAAAAATTTTTGAAAGCGTATAAAATTAGCTCATTATACTGATCCAATATCAAAAATTCAATTCTGCTACTTTTGTCTGTCAGGCGTATACATAGGTGTTCGCATCGGAATATATTGATCTTTAAACCTATCGGGAAAGTTTAGTTCACACTCTGTTGGAAATAGGAGAGGGCTTTTGCGTGTTTTATGAATGAAACTCGACCTCATATCAACAGGCAGTCTCTACTACGCAGCAACATGCGATCGATTTGCAGATGCTGGTGTTGGCCTATCATACTGAGAGAAACTTTCCTCCTTTTGAAATCACAGAGGCCCTTTCCAATTATGTCCATCAGTTAAAAGCCATTTTTATTCTCTCGTGTCAGGAAAAGGGCGTCGTACAGTCGCACATATATTCAGGCAGAATATAGAACGAATCTCGGAATTCCGAAATTCCCAAGGAATTTGCAACAAAGACGAGACGAGAACGTGAATCCCTTGGAGAGTTAATCACAAATATTCCATTACTTGTGTACTTAATGAATGTCTAAACCCCGACTATTTTGACAATGTTCTTCATCCAAGCGTTATATTTGACGCAGATGGAGACATGGCCATCATTGACATCATTGCTGACGATACTTGTCAAAGCCTTGATAAACGAAGTGCCGCCTGTTGGCTAGGGGGCACGTCCCTGTCTACCCACGTATTTCCAGTAAATGCACCCCTCCGAGTATCCTCCAACCCCACTACGTCGCCGGTATGCTTTCTCCTCATGCTCCGTCGGGGTTTCTGAGCAACAAAACCACGCGGCAATCTCCGGCTGAATCGGTGAATAGCGGCTGACGTCAATGGTAACACTCCCACCCTCTCACCTCAACCCCTCTGTTCTCATCATCCAGCTCTCCCCTATTTTCGTTCAAGCTCTCTCGCGCCCACACATTTCCAGGACACAGAACACAAACCCACTGGGGACGGGGCATGTTGGCCATCACTGAAACTGCCAGGATACAGAATTAAATAAAATATCAAAATGTTTGAGGCCCCTTTCCACGGGATCACATGTGACATTTCCGCTTGGCAATCTTGTTGATAAAAAATTGACGCGTGTCAGGGTATAATTTCTGGTGAAATATTACCATCCACTGACAGATTTACTGGACTCTTCCCTCCTCTCTCCTTTATTTATCATCGTTGTTGAGCCTATCGACGTTCGTAAACTCATTCATCACGAATGGGGGGATTTTTTATCCGCATAATATTAGATTTTCTCTCGTTACACGTTTGTCACAGATACGAGTTATGTATTCCGATGAAAAACGCCAGACCAGGGGGACAATGATAACACTGGAGTACAAGGAAAAGCCAGTGACATACGGGAATAAGTGCAAGAAGAATGACGAAGAAACGCGTGTTGGGTGAGGAAGCATGGAAAATAGGATTTTCACGTTCTTTGGAAGACTCTGCTCGTATTGTTCTCTGGGAACATGAGTAGGGCGGTGCCGGTGTGGGCGTTGAGGTTGTGCTTGAATCACGTGGGTGTTTAGTTCATTGCGGGGGTGGTATCGGTGAGAGGGTAGTTGCCGAGTGGTAGGGGAAAACATAGAGATTGTGTCGGGTCTTATTTTTGTATTCAACACTCGGTGAACTCTCGGATTTTACTCACCAGTGATTTTCGAAAATCCGGCGAATCTTTGGAACATTTGAAATCACTGAATTTTTCATTATTTTTAGGAGTGACATGATAATTCACGAAGAGGGAAATTAATTTATGCCAAATAAATTTGGTTGAGACAAAAATTACAATTGCAACATTGATTTTTCGGTTTAATTCTATGTTTCATTCCATGAAAAATCTCGAACCATTTGAATATTTTTTCACTCCTCTCAGATTCAACCAATAACATCTCTCCTCGGTGAGAAAACAAAAAAGTGGAGAGGGTTGATGGAGATTTTCTCTGAAAGGGAATCCTGGTGGGGGGGATACTGTTGTCAGAGTAGGGATGGTTGATCGACCGTATCCACCTACACACTTTCCGTCTCTCGTCTCTCTCTACCCCCCTTAGCATCCCCATTGCTATCCGGGACGTCGTTTCGGAGTGAGGTGTTGGCTCACTTCTAGATTGTCCGCTGCGGAGGAAGGACTCCCGTTCTATTACTCCAGAGGAGGACTCGACAATACAACTGTAAACCGGAGGGGAAAAGTTATTGCCACTTGAGTTGAAAGCACAAACAAGGTGAGCTCATTCCCCGTACCATTTCTCTTCTTTTTTTATGGGAGCTTAAAACAGTTTGACGGGGTCAGAATTTCACTTCATTTTATTCATCTGATCCATTGTCATTCTCTGAGTTGTAAATTAAGGAATTCGTATGGAACGGGGGAGTCATGTATCATTGATTCAAACACAAAATGTTTTCATGTTTAGATTAGTTTGATATCGGTGAAATATCTGTAAGACACTTGATGAAATAAATCTGTAGATTTGGGATAGCAATTGCCTTTGTAATTCGAACAACTGTGCAATATTCCGTGATTAAAAGCAGTTTGGACTCGCTCGGCGGCAACAAGTGTCTGATTTCTTGTTCATATCTACAGAAACATTCGAAATCCTTCTTTCCGTCCCTTCTTACCGAAATTATGTAATTTACGAGCATACATCAAGATTCTTATTACATCGATTGGCGATGGCGCCGTAACTCATGACTATATATCGCTCAATCGCTGACAATTCAAGTGAAAAATTAAAATAGATACCCGTATTATTATTTTCATCATTACCCGGAGTTGAACTTTTTCATTTCTCCATAGATGTTTTTCAATTGGGCGCAAATTCTCGCCCTCGTACTAGCGATAGTGCATGTAGATTCGGTGCCAACTGGATTAATCCAGGATGCATCTAAAGCCGATCAAGTAATGCGGCCCAAAGCGAAGAGAGCGCAAGAGGTCCTCATGTTCGGTAATCAACAGAATCGACGAACTGAAAATTCAGCTGCCTCCAATGTATTCGTCCCAACTGCGGAGAAACGTGAGTTCATCAGACTCTATCGAATTACCCGATTTACTGAATAAAACCAGGCTCCCCCGATAATTGAGTTTCAATATTGGTAATGTGACGCAGGCACCCTTGGAACATCGGGGCTCGAGGACGTGAAAGCTGCGCTGGCGGAGGACCAGACTTTTAGTCATGGTAAACAGCCCAGTGTGTCGATTTTTGATGGTGAACGGCTTCCACCGTCCGAGAAGAATTATGAGTGAGTTAATCAACAACTTGATTAACCAAGGAAATTCTCAATTGCCACGTCTCAATATTTTTTTTATTTCATTTCCAAAAGCTATGGTAAAGTCATGATGAATGAAGTTGGTGACGATCTGCCAAGAAACTGGGACATGCCACCGTACGCAAGGTACTTTGGCCTCGACGAGGATCGTCGTAAGAGATCAGAATCCAAGAATACCGGTGCCTCAACGTCTGGCCCACTATCACGTCCAACAACGGTGTCACCATCATCCACCGCTGCATCACCTCTGCCGATTGCTCAGAGCTCCCCGCGTTCATTCGCCCAGGCCAAACGAAGGTGAGTTGTTCATTTATATCTTCTTCACCTGCCCAATAACTCAATACAAATCGTCAACTTGACGACAAACATGAATCATCATTTTGTCGATGCGAAACTCGATAAAGGGACTAGTCATTGCGAGCTATAATTATCACATATCGAACGCTTCAGTGGGCCGGGGGAACATCAAAGCGAAACCCTTCGAATTCACCACCTGTAGATTGGCTGTCGAAGGGGCCAACCTTGATCGATCTGTTTTTCCCTCGTCTCCGCCCTCCGATGGCATTTTTACCATGATTGGTCAATCTTCCCCTTGTTATCTCGTCTTTCGTCGTTCATCTCGATTGATTAAATTTTTTTCCGTCATCTTCAGCCCACATCTCCCCCTGATTCCTCAATTATTCGGAAAATAAATCACAGCGCCTAGCCGTTTCTCATTAAACAATCACCCTGGACGATAAAAGTAGAAACAAATATCTCTGTCGGGGGAAAAATACCCCCAGCTCATGCATCCTGAGTAACATGACATCCGCGGTGGGTCAATACGAACTAACAATAGACACCGCCGCTATCAATCGCCCTGCGCTTGCAAGTTTGCACTTGCAAGCCCAACTTTTATCATTCAATCATTCCTGGTTCATTGGAACGGGGTTAAACGGTAATTGGAAATACATGCTCATTGCGATAGCCAATGAATCATAGCGACATGGATACACACTGCGAACCAAGAAATAAACCAAACAGAATACATGCACCCGGACTCTCTCCATCAGGAGCTTTCGTTTATCGAAATCTGTGGAAAATATATACACTACATCCCACAAGCTCTCCTCTGTGGTTGTCTGTGTGAACGCCGCTAGTGAACCATCGTTCGATACTTGTGACGCAAGAGATGTGATATATTGAAGCGAGTGAAGGAGAAAGAGGGATGGGCCGGCCCGAGACCAAAAGCTGAATGAAGGCTCCAGGGAAACTGGGTCAGAGAAAGATGATAGGGGGGCGGCGGAGGGGAGAGGGTAGTTTTGGCGAGTTGCCAGGTTTTCCCGGATAACGATATCAACTGACTGAGAGCTTTTATATCTATAGTGCACCTTCTCCAGTAAATCCCACCACTATTTTATTTCCAAGAGTCCCTATTACGATTTCTGCAGTTGCAGAAGCTGCAACTTTCCTGGAATTCTATTAACGAATCTAATGGTTATTGTAATGATCATTTGGCGATAGCAGTAGCTTCTCTTTTCGTATTAGTCCTTTTAACATGAGGAAATGCACAGTTGGTTTTCCTTTTTATGGAAGAATGAGAGACTATGAAGGGGGATAATTAAGAATTTAATCGGGGTACTTGAGCATCGTTCGCTCGTTTATGTGAGCCTGATGTTTACGACGTTATTAGCATGGGAGGGAAATGTGCAGAGTAGTCGTAGCCAAGGGTTTTTTTTTTTCATTTAGGGCTTCTCTCTCATTTTCAGTCTGCCTTTGTATCAGGAGTCCAGGTATAAACGTGCCTTAGATCGCGAGGATCTGCTGGCGCTTCTCTCTCTCTGGGAAAATGGACCAAGAGCGAGGTAATTCTTCATTGAATGTCCCATGAGCGTCTTTTTATCTCCTTTTCCGCATGAGTAATTGCCTTATTACCTTCAGAAATTGGAGGGGCTATGGAAACGACGAGTACGAGAATATCGAGGACGATGGCAATCTTATGGGATTGGAGGACGAGGATCCAAGAGGTGGGAATACGTTCTTATTATTCCATTTATCATCATGTACTCGATGAAAAATTCTGTAATTGTGAGAGGGTATTTTGTGTGATTAGGTGGATGGCTGGAGGGACCTGTTTATGCGCCCCATCGCTTCAATATTGCGCCGGAAATTTCTTCATCTGACATTGGAATTCCTCGAACACACCCTGTGAATTCTTACGAACAATATGGCAATCAGTATGCACCGGCTTATGATAATTCGCCGTATGAAACAACGCAGTATCGTTCTCTGTATCCTCACAACAGTTATTATCCACCAGAGAAGCGTTTCATGGTGTCACGGAAGCGATCACAACAGGTGAGTTGGAATTCCACAAAGGACATGTTGATGTTGAAAAGGAGCTTGTTCTTTTTTTGCCAATGAATTATATTACAACATGCACGTAAAATTTTCCTAGAGAAATATTTAATTTTTCAGTGAAATTTTTTCGTCCATAAATTGAAGAATCATTATATCGTGCATCCTAACGAGGGTCTAATACCACAATGAATATTCCAAGTACTCATTAAAATGCGATTAGCATTGGTGGCAGTTTTCCAGTGTTGAATTATGTAAAACATGCGTATGCAGGATTTAATGAGCATATCCAACTCAACGAGATTATGGAGATTCAGGGAAAATTAATGTTTTCAGGGGTACGATACATACAGCGGTCGTAATCTCAACGACATTGTCAATTTCTCACAGATGATGAATTCGCAGCCTCATCAGGGATATCCCAATCTACCCCAGCGTTTATTGTATTAATTCTGTTGGTGGATGATAATGTGGATTATGGTGAATGTTGAGGACTATCTGGTATTTTAATTCGATATTTTCATCTTCTTATATTTCATTCCTCTTAATATTCATTGAAATTGAATTGTAATTAAAAAATTTTGCTACTCGTTTAGAATTGGGAGTTGAATTTTTCGTATTCCCTTTCACATAGATAGATAATGAGTAATACAATTTGGGAAATTTGTGACCATACCAGTTAGTCCCATAAGGATGTGTGGATGAGTTGCAGGAAATATGAGGGTACGAAGGAATATTTTGCAATGGAAGAATAGTTATAGCTTTCAACTTTTCATTCTTTTGTCTGATTGGTTTATCAGTGGTGAGCTTTGTAATGTCAGTGATTCTCTAGCCTACCATTGGCATATAACTAAGAAAGTAACAGATAGATCTCGTATTTGGAATTTATCAAAAACTACATACTGAGGAATAATGGGAAATATGTAAAACTCTACAACCGTGTCTACTTCCTGCTTTTAGAAGATGTAAGACGGAACTCGCTCAGTATTTTTTTTTTATTACATAGGGAAATAATCATGAGAACGTTTGTCTGACTGTCAATTACGTGTGATAATGATTTAGCCAAAGTAACAAAATCACAGTGACTCTGTAAGAATTCATGAATTTTCTTCACATCTCAGACATTTGCAATTCTGAAGTATCTTTTAAAATGCAATTTCTTCCTTCAAATCAGGGATGAGCTTGTAGGATTTATAAGTCCCGTGCAAATAGTCGGCTAGCTCCACTATATTAACTTGATGAAATCAGTGAGAACAGCACCGAGTGATCAAAGACTGTTTACCGACGGCATATGCACAACAATAATGGGTTCTCGGGGGTTTTTCGCCCTGAGAAAATTCCTCCCATGAATTCGTAGGTATGTCACACATGCACGGACTCAATCTCCCAAAACAAAACATTTCAAAACTCAAAATTTTCAACGTACTTTCTTTGCATAATTCAAGCCAAGTTCTTATGCATACAATTAATCCAGTAGTGAAGCGGTAAACCGAGATAAGTCGATTTTGACTATTAGCCAGTTTTTGCTGAATATCTCGGAATCTAAGAGAGATAGCAAAATTTTTCTCATGACTTTTTTTATAACGCTCTATTGGCTCTACAAAAAAGGTCATGACAAAAATCTTTCTATCTCTTTTAGATTCCGAGATATTCGTCAAAAACTAGCCAATAGTAGAAATCGACTTAACCCGGTTTACCGCTTCGCTACTGAATTAATCATCAATGAATTATATTATTTCCATAAAATTATTCTCGTCCAAATCAAAATCAGTTCCCAAGGAGAGTTGTTCAGGGCAAATTATTACGGGAATATTTTTCCGGGGAAAAAAAATCCAATAACCACAATAATGTCGAGATAATCGACGCATATGAATGTTGTTTAATTGTTTTACATCGTTGTAATTTCACCGAGTGTTTAACTACTTTCTCAATTGTGGTTGAGTGTATAATCACGGAATATTGCTTTGTATCTTCAATTCTTTAGTGTTAATACAAGAATCGCCTATTTACAAACATATAAAGTATAATTTTGCAACGCTCAAGATATCCTCACTCGTAAACTCCCGCGAGTTACTAAACAACAAGAAAAAAATATAAAAACCGAAAAAGAGGAAAATCTAAAAAAAAAAATAGTTTTAACAGTACTGGAAGATGTAATATGGCTTTTGCCGTATGCGCTGTGGTGTGATGATTATTTGGCTGATATAATTATTATATATTTATAAAAACGTACTTAATGTATCATTATTATAGTTAACTGAACAAAATGAGGTGCTAACTCGATGGCTGTTGCTGATTCAATCTGAATCGCAATCTCATGCCAACCGCTTACTGGTCATTCTATTCGCGTGTCGTGTGACTGATATTATGTATAATTATTAAATTTATTCTGTATATGTCGATATGCGAAACGAAAGAAGACTTACAGTGCAAAATTATACAAAAATGAGATGAAATGTTAGTAAATCCGAGGATTAATGAGGAGGCACATTGAATATAAGATCGATACGTTCGGAAATACTGAGGAATATGGAACCACGGTGCAGTGTAATTCAATCGGTAGTTTCGCTATTGAGTGTCATATGTATACGGCCGAATTAACGAAGCGCAAATTATGATAAATACAACAAAAATATTTGTTTATTCGTGGTATCGAAGTGAAGGCATAAGCCATAATAGTACTGATTATACTAGACGTATATAAGTCGGTGTGCTCTAAATGAATTTAATGTGAATTACTAAAATTTGATTTATGTTATGATCGATATTTAATAATTTGCTTATATTTTTGTGCATTCAACTGGAAAATTATAATGAGCAAGACAAAAAACAAAAAATGATTCGATTCTTTTCTTCAAATTTGTCTCCAATCAGGTAACTGCCGATTTCGCGATCAACTTTTTTGAATGAAAATGTTGAAAGATTGATTGTACAGTGGAGGGATAAATCAAATGAGGTAATGATAGTTCTATTGCTTCTGATCACAGTTCGATAAAATATAATTGACTTTTTATCAATTACTTAATATAATGAGAATTTTCGTAAGGAGATGAGACATTGACGATGGAAACGATGGTGAAACAAACATATTGAACAAATGATCTACCGATTGCACTGATACGTCGAAAATTTTCAATTGAAAAATGATAATGAGAAAAAATAACATACGATACTAATACTATTTTCAATGTAGGTTTGAATAATATTTTTTTAATAGATAACCGAATCTCTCGTGAGGGAAGATTCCAACTGTATAAAGTGTGAGTTTATTTATCTACAAAATTACGTCGAATTATATTTTTTTAATCGAGTGTAGATCAATACTAGAAATTGCTGAATGCATATGCGAAACCCATGTATTTTATTTTTCCTGAGGATTATGGAGATGTCTGATTCTCATAAGCTCTTTGGAACTGTCGGCACACACCAATCGATCTGACTCGTAACATATCAGCTTAGCTATGAGTCGATTTTTTTTTCTCTCCAATAGGATACTAATTAAGGATTAAAAAACAGATATGGAAATGCCTGTCTCGTCTTTTACATTCATGTGTTCATGTTGAAATACTTTGTCAACACTTGTAAAGCCTGTAGTTTTTCGTTGCAGCACTTTCATTAATAAAATGTGGTGTTATTATTCGACTGTAACATCAGTGACTCGGCTAAATGTGAATTAAATATGAAAATAAATGTTGCGAGGATCAAAAATCAGTGGGGAGAAGTTGGAGGGCTTAATGACTAGATAATATACTTTTTGAGTTTATCAATATGCGTGTATTATCCGCCGTTTTAAATGACAAACGGAGAATTAATTGGCTGTTTCGCAGATATAATTTCCGAACGAGAAAAAAAGGAAAATTCACAGGGTGCTTCCCGCTCGAGTAACATTATAACAATTGTAAATTATTGTGGAATACGTGAGGAGAAGAACAATAAATGATTATATTCTACCTGTGCACTTATCGACAATTATCTAGATTGCAGGATTCACGTCAAATAATAAATTTCCATTAATTTTCCATTTCAACTTGTTTATTCACTCTTCATTCATTATCATCAATTGGAACACCCTTTCATCATCATTATATACAATGGAATTTCAATACATGCATAAATTTCTATTTTTCCCCATTATCTTTTCTTCTTCTGGTATGTTTCTGTTGATCTGTCCCTCGAGCGTTTCTTCTTATCCTTCCTCGATCTACTACGATCCCTCGATTTTTTCTCTTGCTCTCGCTTTTTATCTTTCCTCTTCTCTTTGTCCCTATCACGATAATCTGTTCGTTCTTTACTTCGATTTCTATCATCTTCATAGGGTAGACGTTCTCTCTCCTCAGCACTCCTATTCCTACTCCTGCTTCTACTTCGTTTTCTGCTTGAGTCCTTATCTCGTCTATTCGATTGGCCATGCTTTCGACAATCCCTGCCATTTTTATTATTCTCGTAACCATCATCCCGCCTATTTCTCTCCCTCGTTTGATCGTGCTTGTGAGATCTACTCCTGTCATACGAATCCCCATATCTATGAGACTGCCTCTCCCCTCTGCTCGTTTTTCTCTCGGAACTCTTCCCTCGGACTTGTTTCTCACGAGCACCCGAGCTATTCTTCTGATCCTCATTATAAAGAAATCCTTTCCCCTTCCCTTTCCATCGCATCTTGGACACAGACTGCGAGAAGTCCACGTGAATACGACGATCGTCGATAAGTACATTATCCATTTTAAAATAGGCATCTTCACAGCTCTTGCGATCAGCAAACTCGATGAAGGCGTACTGCAGGGAGTCGCCACTCTGACGATCCCTGATCACCTCGCATCCAATGATTTTTCCGAATCTGCTGAAAATTATCTCCAAATCGTCGTCATTGGTGACTGGATTCAGTTTACAGACGAATAAAACGTTCTCTGGAGGTGCAATATCAGCGTCTGGGATGTCACCGACAATCTCGAGGATCGTTGCAGCAGCTTTAGCTTCCTTATCCCTCCGCATTTCCATGATTTCTTCCATGGACATGCCAGCAGTGTCATCGAGTACCTCATCAGCCCCAATTCGGTCGCTCATAAGGGCCTCCTTCGTAGGCTCTGGGCTTCGATCTGGCACTTGTAAATTCTCAGGATCATCGTAAGGGTCTTCGAGGATAACAGTGTGGGATATCCGGATGTCCTGATAGGGTCGGTGATCCCCATCGCAGATTGTATCGTTGAACTTGAGGATTACCTCCAGACCCTCGACTATTTCGCCGAAAACGCAGTGCTCACCGTCCAGGGACTGCAGATCTCGATCGAGAGTGATGAAGAACTGGGATCCCAGCATGTTGTCACCGCAGTTTACCATGGATAACAGACCCACTCTGTCGTGCTTTATTTTGGGCATCCGCTCGCCCTCGTAATACCGTGCCTCCTCCCCCAGGATCATCCCATAGACACTCTCACCACCTTTACCTGTACCCGTTGGATCACCTGTTTGAGCTATGAAGTTACTCTGGACTGTGTGGAACAAGTGCCAGTTGTAGTACTTTATTTTGCAGAGTTTCAGGAAGTTTCGACATGCTGAAAAAATATACACAATAAATTATTATTGCGGAATGCTGAACATGATCGAGAAGACAGATGTAAGTCCCAATGTGATAAAATGAATAGGTAAAAATTAAGCTTCAGTTACAATTTATGCAATAAAAATTTTGATACTTGAATCTCGCATCTAAGGAATTGTTAATAAAAATACTTTTTAATGACGTGGGTACTTACTCTGCGATCGTTCTTCGGTAAATAAATCGACAGTGAAATCGCCAATTGTCGTTTCTATCACTACACTCATTTTGTACTTATGTTTTCTAACTGCAAAATGCCATGAATTGAACTGTTTACTTTTAAACGACAGATTTTTTTGGAGGTTATGTCAATCGTTGATGAATCAACTCCACTCCATTGGTAAATCGTATTCTTATCGTCAGCGGATCAACCCAGTGAGAGCTCTGTTGTTTTGTCTACCAATAGAACAATACGTCGATCACCAGGAACGTTAGTGATTGCATGAACAATATTGTTGAATTTTGTATAAGTAATAATTGAATGTGATGCCTATGAGGTATGTATTCATTCATGCATTTCGACAAATGCTACTCGTTTTTCGTTCATTTCATTAGACTTTCTCCTGCAGAATTAATCCTCACGAAATCCATATGATACTGCGGGGATTTCCATTGCTGTGTGGATCAGAGAAAGAAGGATACATTAATTTTTAGGCTGTTATCTAGTGAAGATTCTCGGAATTCTCTGGAATTTTGAATATGCCACCCCCCTGGGCAACTCTGGGTTTCTTTGCAGTTGGAATGCTCCTTGCCATCGGTGGTTTCGTGTACAATCAATATCGAGAACGTCGTAACAATCAACACTCTTATAGCAGGTAAAGCCTCAGAAAGTATAATAATCCCATATCATTCAAAACTTCTTTCTTTGACCTTCGTAATTTCCATTAGGCGGAGTTCTCCTCGTTCATTTGAAAGAGGAAGAAATTTGACATGTCCCATTTGTGGTCGAAGAATATCAGATAATTCCTATGAAATGCCCTGTGGACATCAGTTCCATCGAGGATGTTATGCTGACAGACTGCTGCACAACAGAGATACGCAGGGAATTGCTCATATGGTATACAGCAATTCTAAATCAACTGAAGTTGATAAACTGAAGTCTACTCTTCTAATGAATTTTCGCAAAATGTTCAATGCTGGAATATTTTTCAGCCCTGTCCAATCTGTGGTGAACTTGGTGATAGACTGTCTGATAATGGAATATCAGCTGTTGATGGGTATGAATTACGTACGAATGTCTATTCCAAAAGTCCAATTCTTTATAAATGTCAAAACAACATGTTTGTGTCCAACATTTTTTAAATTTAGTTGCACAGTTGTACAATTTTTAATTAATTTTATTCTAGATTGTCTGATAGAAGAGTGAACTGCAGCTATTGTTCCGGAATTTTGACATCTTCTGAAAGAATACAGTTAGATTGTGGCCATTTTGCCCATTCTATATGCGAAGAGCAATGTGGAGACATTCAACAGGTTCGCTCTACGTCCTGATGACTTTCCAACTATTTTCCATGTTCTCACATTTATCTGCTTTCAGTGTCCGAATTGTTCGGGAAATCGAACAGGAGATCATAAATGTAGTACGTGTGAAATGCCCATTCAATCTTCGGATCGAAATTTGAAGCAACTGGATTGTGGACACTTGATACATTCATCTTGTTCCAGTATTGCTAAATTCATGAAAGTAAGTCTTATTATGACAATTCCCATTCCTTGCTGATAATGATGTCAATTATAATTGGTTTATGTCATGTTTCTAGTGTAGGAATTGTCCACGAACCGAAGGAGACCCCGTGGATTGATTAAATCAATTCCTTATAAGTTTCTTTCTTATTTTATAATATAATATACACAATTCTTCAAAGAACTAGGAAAAATCCACCGAGACGTAGAATTATCATTTTTGACTAGTTATTCACTTTCAATTATTTAAAAATGAATTTGAAACAAAAATTAACTAAAAATAGTGTTAATTTAAGTGTTATAACTGTGTGCCTTTATAGTGAATTGAAAGAAAATAAAACTCTAAACATGAAAGGATTCTTCATGCACTTTCGATTGTTAACGTTGAATGTTACTATATTAGTGAATATTTGTTTTTTTTTAAACTCCTCTGGTTTTTGAGAAATCCCTAAAAAACAAAAATTTATGTGGATACCATACTGCTAATTTATTAGCAAAAATAGTTATGCTAAGTGAAGTTAAAAAATCAATTTCCCACTTGTTTCATATCATATTATTATAATAATGTTCAATTATGTAAATGTTCAATTATATTACTATATTTGAACTGAACGAGTACAGCGCGAAAAAAAAGTAATATAGTTATCACTGTTGCCAAGACCATCCATCGAATGTCTCTAGAGAATTCCTCCAGCTACACCCTTCCCCCCCTCGTATACGTTCACACTTCTAAAGATGATGTGTGAACACAGAGTAGTGTGCGTAAATACGGCAGTGTGTGTCGAGACACTGTCCAGTTACTCGATCGAAAAATGGATCTTGCACCGTATTCGTGTGCGATTTCACGAACTTGGATCGTGATACTGTGTCTCTAAAATAATAATATAACGGCCGTAACGGGTGCGCGTCTCACCTCGAATAAGCAATTGATAATATATCAGGAGAACATTTGTGTGAAGTAACTCGATTCGATGTAGTTAATTCATTTTCGTTCTACAGATGGTCATCGATGTTGAGGAAGAAGAACAAGTCATCCAATTTCCATTGATAGTATTTATAGGGTTCGGGGTTTATTTTTACTACCTTTGGGAATAGAAATCTCAGTGAATTGAAAATGCGTTCGACCGCCGGCTGATACATTATCAACTTCAACTGTGAGTTCATTTATTTATCGTAACGTAACTGAATACGTCTCAAAAAATGCTATTTTTTTCTCTCTTTTCTACTTTTTTTTATGTGACTCATGTATGCATGTACCTCATATCGCTCAGATGTCGTATCATGTGGGTGTGCGTGTGCCTGTGCGTGTGTGTGTATTCACGCATGTATTTGTTCAGCACAATTTATTCTCTTTTCACGATTATAATGATAAACTAGGAGTAAATATTAATTATTCGTACGCCTGTCTCCTGCATTTTTATGTGGTACATGTACCATTTATTTTTGTCCTTCCTTATCTCCGTGAGCAACCTCTGCTCAAGAGACCATCGTTCTCATGTTTTTAATTTTTTTCATGCAACTTTGCCATCATCTGTATTGTTTTTCACTCAACACCCATGAGTGGGATATTATGTCCACTCTTTTTATGGCCTTGAGGTTTTTAATAAGCTTCATCATCGCCTGGATCAGCCTCTAATTGAATTCACACTAATTATTCCGGTGGAATGGAACAATCAAAATTAGTATCTATAATTTTATAATCTCATTTGAGTATTCTGTTTTGAAATGTGGGAATTGCTATCTTCTGCATGAATCTGGAACTAGTGGAGTATTTGCCAGCGAAAGACTCAAAAATCACATGTACAAATGTTTTTCACGTGCAAAATAATTAGAACAGAACTTGAGAATATTTGTATACCCCTAGATTCACTCAAAATTGAATGATTCACGAGTTTCAGCTTAATATTTCTTGCGCAACATTGTTAAATGTTTAAGCATTTGTTTACATGTTTTTCATAAAAATCATAGGACCGATAATCATCATGCTTGATTTATCATTTGTCTTTGTCTTTAGTGTGGTGGTGTAATACTCTGTGAGGTCACAGAGTTTAGGGTGATACGTGCAAAACTGGTGGGCATCGTACTTTGAAGGAAAGTTTGATAAGATAATAAAGTTTAATAAGGATATAATGGAGTCTACGGTTGCGGGACGAAGGCGTACCGCCACCAGACATTCGGCCGAGGATCAGGCTCTCGATCAAATTGCCAAGGAGGTACAGTCACTCTTCAGTAGGAATAAAATAATCCTTATTTAGGGTGTCGAGAGTTCCGGTTTGAGTCTGAAGTTGAATTATCGCGGTAAAATCCGTAAAATAAAGTCCATTGGTATGTGACTGGGGATTTCTTACAGTTACCAGGTGTATGTGATCGGAATAAATTTCAGTCTCAACCTGTTTTCAATCAGGTGTTGACAAATTCAGGAAATTGTGTTGAGAGGAATATTTTGGTGGATTTTGCAGGCAGAGGCGAGATTGGCGGCGAGGAGACAGGCAAGAGCTGAGGCTAGAGAAATTCGAATGAGAGAGTTGGAGAGACAACAGAAAGAGGCTGAGGAGAATGCTGATAGGGTCTATGATATGTGCACTTCCGACGGAAGAACCATGAGGGTTACACCAGATCCAATCAGAACATCACGTCTCCTCACAAATTCAAACAATTTTCAGTCGAGTCGAAGGTCTTCCGAGGATTCCCTAGAGGACGCGGGTCTGAACAGGGACATAAGATTAGAATTAAAAGAGTTTGAGGAGAAGTTCAGGAAGGCTATGATTGCCAATGCTCAACTTGATAACGAAAAATCCTCGTACTCTTATCAAGTGGAGCTGTTGAAAGATAAGTTGGAGGAGTTGGAGGAGTCATCGGCGACTCTGCGACGTGAGCTCAGGGAAAAGAATAGGGAGTCTGAACAACTTAAACGAGTTAATCAGCGGTTAAAGGAGGAGCTGGAGCTCTGCAAAGCTCAATTGTTGGAGAGGGACACACTTATACAGGATAATGGGCTAGTTATAGTTGAGGATGAGGGGAGTGAGGGTGAGGAGACAGGTGGGATGAATGGAGTCAACAGGAAGCGAGTGCTAGTCAGTACAGAGGCTGCTGAGTTGCTGCAAAATGCTGGGGAAGGTTCATTAGGTGATTTTCACATGGAAAATAATTATTTGACGTCACTCTTTCAATCAATTGATTCATTCATTAACTTAATGGATCATTTTTTAGACGTTCGATTGAGGAAGTTTGCATCGGAGAAGAAAGAATTACAAGATGAAATAAGACATTTAAGATTAGACTTGGAGGAGGCGAAGAGCCGAAACAGATCCGAAAGATCATCAGGATCAATATTAGGTGAGTTTATCCGGCATTTTAATATTTCATATTTTATACACTTTTTTATTTCTTCTAATTCACCTTCTGACTGAGAATTTGAACGAGAATGGAATCAACAACGGTCGAAATAATTATTTTGCCAAGTATCACCAAAATATTTATTTATCTCTGAACATTTAATTCTTCTTCAAGGTCTAGCCGATTCTGAGGATGTTCAACGAGAAGCCAATAAACTTCTCGCAGATTATAAATTCAAACTCCAAAAAGCTGAACAGGATATGTCCACATTGCAAGCAACAGTGGCAAGGCTAGAGAGTCAAGTTATTCGTTACAAATCAGCGGCTGAAGCTTCAGAGAAAGCAGAGGACGAGCTCAAAGTTGAAAAGCGTAAATTACAGAGAGAAGTGGGTTGAACTTATTTTGTGAGATTAAAAATTCACTAACATTGGCAGGCAGTGTTTAATTATCTTACTTTAAATAATATTTTTCAGGTGAGGGAATCACAGGGTCGTGTTGAGGAATTAGAGACGGCGAATTCTCACCTCCAGCGCCGTCTGGATAAACTGAAAAACGCCAAGTCTGCTCTGTTGAAAGAACTCTGACGTGACAGTTCTGTTGAGAATAAAGGATAAGACTTTTAGTTTTCATATGCCACAACCAACAACTTCAATTAAGGTGATAGATGAGAAATAATAATGAGAATGCAAACGAGATATACAAAAAATTATGTTGTACTAACTTGGACCAGAAGATACCATTAGATGTATTTATTTGATTTTTATTCATTTGTACATTGAAATCATACTCTGGCATCGTCCAAACTATTAACAACCACATCGTAAGGGTTTTTTCATGCATTATACAGTGGTATCAGTGGGATGCTGTTATTTTTTAGGACGATTAGATTTTTTATCGCCAATCACCCGAGAGTATTTCTGCGACTGAAGCAAATAGTGTCAATTAAAAAATACAGACATAGAAAATCAAACACCGACTGAATTTTACCATCAGGTTCTTTACAATTTTATATTATTACATTGGGTAGCACTTTATCAACTCGATGAAGCATTTTTTTCTAAAGGCGTAAATACGTTCATATTACTTTTTTTTTCTCTTTATCAACAATCTTGAAAGCAATAGTACCACAATGTTCTGGAAAAGGTAAACATTTGTTCTTTACTGATCGTTCAGCAACAATAACTCGATTGAATGCTATGTACTTATACGACAACCAGTACAAATGATATTATAATATGATCAGTATTTTGTACGAGAAATTTTAAATGTGCAATGGAATTTAATATTTATTATAATATAGGCCGGTTTTGAACAACAGCAATTAGTCAACACATCTGTCAAAAGCATAGAATCATCTTTTGTATTTTTTTGTAATTGAAAGAACTGTTTAGATGTGGCATAATAAATTAATAATAATCGAATCCCGTTAGAGAGGAGAGAATAATAGAATGATGCTGGAGATGACAACAATTGCCATAACTGAAATTTCTAAAGGTAAAAAGGGACGATCGGGGGGGGGGAGGAATAACGTTTAATATTAACGGAGGCAATAGTTTTTTTATTCCACAGCAATTGGCAGAGAATCAATGTGTATAATTTAGGTTGAATAATTCCTATTTATTATTGAAACAAAAAGGTGGCCCTAAGAAATACTGGTTTAATGCTTTTCATACAAACAAAAAAATAAATTGCCTAATGTAATGTTCTTCTTCATCCTCAAAATATTTATTCGAAACCTTCACCTCCTTCAGATATCCTTTTATTATAGCAATGACAAATTTTGTATATTTCAAACAACTTTCCATACAATTGTCAAATGAACTTAACACTACGTATACGCGTGCATGAACAAAGATTCCGAGGAATATAAAAATGCGTTACATAAAAAAAGTAATCAATAATTTGAGAATGATGATAATAAAAAAAATAACATATAAGAGATTAATCAATGTTTTGATTTAGCCCAAGCTGGACTCTCGGGAGCAGTGAGTTGTTTGGTTGATTTAACGAGAGTCATGGGTTTGTAAACTGGCATTGGTCTTGCCTTCGTCTCTGCCTTTTTCCGCAACTCCTTGATCTCCATTTGCTCTCTGGCCAATCGCTCTTCCTGCTCTCTCCTCCTTTTCTCCTCCTTCAAGGCAGCTTTCATCCTGATCTGATCGTCAAAATCCTTGCGCATTCTGGCACGTTTGTCACTGTGCAGCTCTGCAGGAAGACTCTTCAGCTTTGGCTTGAGCACAGGCATACTTGGCTTAGTGGGCACTTTCCCCTTGGGCACTGCTGGCTGATAATTTGGTGGCCTGTTTTCTTGATCGGACAATTGACCCGTAGAGATCTGTTTCTGAAGGGTACGTGGGAGCTTCAGAGTTTCCTTTGACTTGTCACGAGTCAATGTTCTGAGATTCTCAACAGAACGTCCCCGAGTTTGTAATTTCACATCAGTCTTGCGATTTTCAGCTGATCTATTACGTACTGTTCCAGTATTCTTGTCAGTATCAGTTTTGATATTCTCTCTCGATCTACCTCTCACTAAAACAGGTTTGAAGTGGGGTGCTGGATTTGCGTGGAAAGTTCGTGCCTTCTTGTCCTCCTCTTCCATTTTCTTACGAAGCTCTTCCTTTTTCTTCATCAACACTTTATCCCTCGCTTCGAAGCTGAATGGAAGTACTTTTGGCTTTTGTTTATCCTCGTGATCATCTGCATGATTCTTCACTTGCTTCGAGGGCTGCAGGGCCACTTTCTTCGCCGACAATGGCATTGGCCTAGCATGAAATTCGACTTTGGCTTTCTGCTCCTCTTCACTCTGCAATTTCTTCAACTTTTCTTCTTTCTTTGTCATGAAGAGCTTGTTGCGTGCCTCGAAATTGAAGGGCAAGGGTCGAGTGGTCTTCTTCTTGGCTGAACCAATGACTTGAGTCTTTTGAGTGGTAGGAATTCCAAAGTGCATTATTTGGCTCTCTGCGATTGTGATACCACCTTCAGAACTCACTACAGTTGGCACAATCTTCTTGACTGGTTTCTTCGATTGAGTATTTTGTCCAGATGATGATGATGATGATGATGTTGGTCCTTGCTTAGTTGAAACAGTCTTCTTGGGCTTAGTCAAATGGAATGGCTTTTGAGACGTCAGTGGCTTCTTTGGAACACTCTTCAGGGGTTGTGGTCCTTGAAGAATGTTCGTGGGGACTGGGTTGGCACGGATCTGGTGTTGCTTCATCTTCTGCAGCTCAATCTCCTCGAGTTCTGCTTGACTCAGCACCACGTGACGTCTGACACGATTCTTGGACGTTAGGGCTGGAGATACAGGGATCGTCCTCTTCAACGCCTGCTGTTTAACGACTTGGAGAGTCTTCGGTTTAGGATTCTTGGCGCTCACAGTGTGGAAACGAGTCGGCGTGCCTTTCTCAAACTTCTTTATTGCTTCTGCGAGGCTCACGTACTGATTGGATACACGACGAATCTTGAGAATGCTGCTTCGTCTTCTGGCGTGACTGGTTAAGACTGAGGGCTGGGTACCACGTGGCCTGCGCTTCTCGACGATTCGACTGTGATGGACCTGATAATAATCGAAATCTTCAACTGGTTCAAAAGCCTCTTGGTCAATTTCCTCGTAATCTTCATCGTTATCTTCCTCTGGATGATCTGCCTCTGATGGTCCTGGGGCTGGGGCTGCTGGACGTACCTCGTCCTGTGGCTGAATTTGTTGAGGGACAGTTGGAGTTGGTGTCTGCTGTTTAGACGTGTTACTTATCAGTACTGATTTCCGCAATCTACTCAAATTGATTGTGGCTGGAGGCTTTGCGGCAGGAGTTGACGACGTCACTTTGCTGTAATTCTCCTCCATCTGCTGTGGTTGTAGTGCAGTATTTTTGACTACTTCTGGTTTTATAGTTTCGTCTTTATCCATTTCTGGTTCGGAAATTCCAGTGGAGGGAGTGGAATTTGCATCTTGAACTGTCTTCTTGTAATTGAAGATGGGTGTTCTTATTATCTTGGAGATGGGAACTCCAGCCTCGTTTTTAACAGATGAATCAACAACGTCGTTTGGCTTTACTGGGGCAGCCAGTTTCTGAGCAGCCACACTTCGACGAGTATTTGATGCAGGGCCTTTCGCCAATGGGGTTGCTGTCTTTACCCCTTCTACGAGATGCATCGAACGAGTGGCACGTCTAGGTTTAGCTGGGGTTTTCTCTGAAGGTGCCCCCTGGGTTTTGTTCAAATTCACAATTCGACGTTGTTGTTTTGTGATTGTGGAAGCAATCCCTATGACGTTGTTCAGAACATCTTCCACTGTTGTTTCTTTGATAACTTCAGCCCTGCGATTTTTTTTTCCTTTTGGAGAAACTACCTTGACAGGCGTCATATTTATCGTATCAATGGCATCCATAAACGTGGAGTCGGGCTGAGATGAGCCCGGAGGAGCTAAGAGTGCATTCTGAGTATTGATGACTGGAGAGCTGTCGAAATCAGATCGGTTCAGTCGCATCTTCTCGGGTACTGCTACGAATGGGGTCTCGTTCTCCGGGTGCAGCACCTCGAAGTACTCTGATGACACGTTTGGACTTGAACCGAAGTCTGACCACATGGGGGCATTCGCTGCGTAGGGAGAATCGAATTTCAGGTTTCTATACATCTTGCTGATTCTTTTTTCCAGTCAAAAGCTTCCAAGAGCTCTTGTGCCTCTTCCAAATTCTTGACGTATCTTTAAATTATTATTCCCAACATCTACAGATGTTTTTTTATATGGCGTCACGGTTGTAAACACCAGTGACCTGTTGAAGGACGAATGATAAATGTTAGAATAATTAGAAAAATCCCCCAATCTCCTCAGTACTGATCAATGTCGATTACATTTTTACGATAATTATTTCGTGGATAATATAATGATTTTATTGACGTACCTGATGATCTGACGGACTCACACTGACGAGTCTTTATGTCATCTGATGTCAGAAGTCAATTGTTCAGTTTCAATTAATGAATATCCAAAAATTTTGTCACCAAGTTTTTTCGTCACCTTGAACCCTTCAATTTGCGTACTTTCTTGTTTATATCCAACACTTGTTTTGAGATAACGATGAAAACTGATCGAGTTATACTGCAGCTGATGTGTTTCTCACTGTAACGAGGCAAACGTTTTTCTCAAATGCTAACGGCTGTGGGCAGCTCGAATTCGAACTGATGTAGGGGAAAAAATCGGCGTGCCATTGGATAGTTCTCTGGGGAATTATCAATCGAGGAGAAATGTCGGTTGGTGGCCTGAAAGTCCCTAGGTCATTGCCATTCTGCGCTGCATTCATGACTGATGACTGATTGTTTATTCACTCACACGATTTTTTGGGTTATAAACCGGCATTTTTACTTGTGAAATAAACATTTCAACAATGCCAGAAGACATTGAAAAACAAAAACTGCTCTATAACACAGTATTAGCTCAGACATTCTCGCCAAGTGGTAAATTTTTGATATGCAGCAACATTTATGGTGATATTTCCATATTTGAGTGAGTATTAATAATTTTCAAATAGTCGAGGATGATCAGACGATGGAATTTCCCTTAGTTTCATCATCATATATAAAATAAAGCAACTAATTTTTTTATTTTCATAAAAATTAATTGATATTTTCTTTTATTGTCTGCATGGCCGATTAATAAATGTTATCCATGAAAAATTTTGCTCATTCGTTTGTTCCAAGTATTCCAAAGGTACTGGGACCCAGCAAAGAGAACGACAATGATCTCCAAGGGCCACTGTACAAATTCACAGCACATGCCGATCATCACGTTGAGAGTATGGTGACAACAGACAATTTTTTGGTAACCGGTACTGCCGGTGAAATTTGTGGATGGGACTGGAAAGTTTTGACTTCAGATAAAGCATCGAAAATGAAAGTGTCGTGGACCGTCCCGATGCCAGTTGATAGGTGATTATTGGCTGCATTATCTCTAGGAGACAGTGGAAAATTGAATTTCCTGTTTTTTTTCCTTTCAGGGACACTTCGGAGAAACCTGACGTTAATTACATGGTTTATTCAAAGTCAAATCATATACTCTATGCAGGCTGTGGGGATAACAAAATTTATGCTCTTGATATGGAGCATGGCAAAGTCCTGAGGAAATTTGAAGGACATACAGATTATATTCACAGTTTAGCCCTATTGTAAGCCCTTAAAAAATAGTAGACTTGATATGCATTCTCGAGAGATAATTTATATGCGAATGAATTCCTAGGAATAATCAATTGGCATCAACGAGTGAAGACGGTTCAGTGAGACTCTGGGATTTACGTAAAAATGATAACACAAATATCATTCAACCACATTTGTTCGACAAAGTAGCAAGGCCAAGGCTGGGAAAATGGATAGGGGCAGTTGATTTCACGGATGACTGGCTGGTAATTCAAAATTTTACTCTTCTCGATTTCTCCAGAAAAAAAAAACTTCTTAGGTTTTTTTAACGTGAAGGTAACAGTGCTCAGTCCACATCTCGATTTCAGTTCAATAGAATAAAACTGGAATTGGGAAATTCCCGAATCCAATGTCCTTCAATTGCTGCGGATTCACGATCTAGTATTTAAATAAATAAAATAGATGCAATAAAAATCCATAAATATTATATTTTTTCCCAGGTGTGTGGGGGTGGTCCAAGTCTCTCACTGTGGCACCTTCGGACGATGGAACCAGCAACGATCTTCGAACTCCCAGATCAAGGAATCCACGTCGTCTCAATCTACGAAGAACGAATCATCGCCGGAGGGGCAATGCCTCACGTTTATCACCTCAGCTATCAAACCGATACCCTTGCAAAAGTACCTACCTCAAGTAACACAGTCTACAGTATTGTCTATCACGAGACTCCTCAGAAGATCCTCAGCATCGCTGGGTCCAGCAATAACATCGACATCTGTACGAACTTCAATTATAGAGAATTGATGTTGAGATTTGCATGAAACCCATTCAAACTACCTTCTGTGTATGATTGCACTGGAGTAAGAGGAATTGGTAGGCCAGGTTGACAACAGAAATATCAAAACCATTCATTTATAAAGAACTGTGTTTATGCGAAAACATTAAAAACAGCTGAGGCGGTGAATTCATTGTTTTTAGTATGTCATTACAACTGTATCACGATTTTTTTATTATTTATCCGGATAAAGTGGGGTAAAATGGACTCTTGACTTGTTTTTCAATGTTTGCAAATGAGTGGAATGAGCCCAATACATGAATTTATTCCTCTCAATGATAAATTTCTATTTAAAAGTCAAAAGTACCAAATTACTCCCCGTATCCTCACGCCCAATGCTTCACACTTATAAAATTTATCCCTCCACTCTTCACTCGGCTTTAGACTTGACTTGGGGGTCTCTATAATGAAGGAATACTAGAGAGAAAATGAAAACCCCTCCCATCATCGAGAACGCACTGGCGTAATAGGGATATGCGCTTGGAATGAAACGTTCATACTGAGTATGCTGAAGAGGTCGTACAGATACTTGAGTTGTGCTGTACAAATGAGTGAGTCCAATCCTGTTGTAATCGACCTTGAATTGATAAACCCCGTAGACATCAGGTATTTTGAATCGTGCCTCGTATTTTCCATAGCCCGAGGGTGTCATCGTCATTCTGACGAATGGATCAATTCGAACAAACTCGAGCTGCAGATCGTTGGCTTCATAGGGTACCCACTTATCACCCGAGAGTTTCTCAACTGTGATGGAATAAATCACGTCCTCCATGATGGTGTAAGCTGCTGGAGGCTTGTCTTCACCGATCCTGTGATGATCCACTGAAGAAACACGAATCACTCCGTTCTCCTTGAACACCCATTGGGTCATGGCTTTTGCTACAGCTTCGTTTCCTGATTTTTCGTATTTTTTTCCACCTGAAATGAAAATTAATTGGTTTATCTCCACGTTGATAAATTTGACTGATGACTTTAGCTTCATCAGAATGAAAAAAGTCATCATGTGATATTTCCGTCAAAGGTATACCTTGAGCTTTCTGAACAGAACTAGTGAATGCCTCATCGCTAAAGAAATAGAGAGACCCTGAGAAAAGCACACGAGCATTGTTCCTCGCCTGCAGTGCAGCAATCAACAAAGTGTTCTTCCCCACAGCGTGAGGATATTCCTTAACAGGTTGATCAGAGTTATAAGAGTAGGCCGAGCTCGAAGCGGTGAGCAATCGCAGTACAAGGGGGTTCTCTGGATCAGCAATGAGCCCAGTTCCCTGGTAAAGCAGTGGAGCAACGTCTTTGCTCCCCACGATGACTGGGGCATTGATGAGATTCTCAGAGTCTGCAACGATCGTCGTGTGATGACCGCTGTCACTGACATCGTAATTCAGATGATCAATGACTGTTGCTCCTTCCTCGTCGACTTCGAAGCCGTTCTCAGAGGCTAGTTCACGGAGAACATCTCCGGAGTGGGAGGATCCCGCCACTAGAACGTTGCCACCTCCATCGATAAAATCTGTGACAGCATCGACATTCAGAGCTCCACCGAACTCTTCCACTGATGGCGCGAATATTATCAGGTGTTTGTATAAGAATTCTCCGTATTTGGAGAGCACCAGGTTGGCATCATCAGCCAGTTTGAATGTCAGAGTGTAATCCCGATCTGAAATGGACCAAATTAAATCCTAAACAATGCTAAAATAGAAGAAGTAAAATAACGAAATAGTTTTTTAAAATAGGGCAGATTCATTTTCTGTATTATTTATTCAAGGATCTCAATCAGGATTCAGTTTAGTATTGAAGGGAGGATGAAAAAATTAATGAATAAATATAGTGTATATTTTTTTCTTTTTGTATTGAATACATAAAATAAATTGTCCTGAGGGAGAATGCATGAAAATGTAAACGGTTGAATAAATAATGTAAATAAAGTGTGACCATAATAATTATCACGAAAAACTCTCAGAAAAGAGTGTTAGAGGTTAGCATTGAAAAAATGACTATTTAAATACCTTGTAGCCATTTGAAGAAGATCGAGTGTGTCTCCTTGATAGCAAGATTATCGAGGAGCACGAGGGTGGGTCCACCGGCGCTAGCAACCGCGAATATGCAGAGAAAACCGAGAAAAGTGAGCCCGTATTTTTGCATTGTGAATTATCTTCTCAATGCCTGTGTGTACGTCAGAGCCAAAGCCAATATGCCACGACGTTATGTACAGTTTGAGTACGAGACTCTTTTCAACGGAAGTGACATGGCGTCGTGACCACGTGATTTGATTCCTGTGAATGAGAGTATACACTACCGATCGATAATCCAGTGTTTTGGTTGAAAGTTTAGACACCGAAGGCAATTGGCTGCTAGCTGTTATGATACAACGTACATTCAGTTCGCACTGCGTCATTACCAGTAATATCTGTAGATTGAGAGAGCACGGGTTTATCGTAGCATATTGTTGTATGTTGTAGGGTGATTGAATTTTATTGTTGGAAAAATGTCGAGCTTCGAGGAGTGCAAACTCAAGGCTGGCCATCCACCAGCAGGTTTGTATTCTCCATGATTATTCCGATAATTAGATTACCTCACTCTTTTCATTTCTCAATGATGAATTTTGGAATTCAGTGAAGGCTGGAGGAATGAGAATAACCCAACACAAGACACCTAAGGAGGACCGTGAGATAAAGCTGAGCAAGGACAGCGAGGACAGCAAGCCATTGGGGAGGTAAATATTTATTTGTGTTTTTATTTCAGTGGAAGGTCAAGGGATTTTGGAGAAATAATTAGCCTGTTCATTAAATTAGCATCAAGGGGCTACTAATGACAATTCGCTCGACGTTCTAATCATTTCAACAATCCTCGACCTTGAACTGAAATTTTCTACATTATGACCATGAACACCGTTGGGGGGGGG